ATAAAATGTATGATGTAAACTCTTATTAGCACATTTCTCTGCGGTCCTGGGAATAAACAGTGTTTCTGAATATAGTGAAAAATGTTTTGGATGTTCATAAACAAAAACATGAGGGAGATTTAAGCAGAGGTTGGACTAGAGACCCCCTCAAAGCCCAGCACCTGAATGACTGTGAAATAAATTACACTGCATTTGAACCCCAGGTTCATGGAACTGAGCTGGATTTCCAGTGGAATTCACCTTTCAAAAAAGAACTGAACGAAAACAAACCCAAAATCTATAAAACAAGCCAATCAATATATTTGTACCCCAGTCTAACTCCTGATCCTTTACCAAAAGGAGTCCATTGCCTCAAGCCCAACCTGCCCTTGGACACTCCCAGGGATGGGGCAGCCACAGCTTCTCTGGGCAACCTGGGCCAGGGCCTCCCCACCCTCCCAGCCAGGAATTCCTTCCCAATATCCCACCTAAACCTCCTCTCTCTCAATTTAAAACCACTCTCCCTTGTCCCATTAGTGTCTGCTGAGCAAAAAGGACTTTCAGGACCTTTCCTGAAGGTCCTTCCCAACCCACCCTATTCCGTGATTCTGTGCTCCCATTTCATTTCTTTTCCTGAAGCACATGGAATTTGCTTTTCTCCCATTTTTTGTGAGCAGGGAGTGACACCATCCCTGCAGGTGAATGTTTCAGTGCAGAGCACACACAGCAAAGGCAGGATGAGATGGAACCACATCTGCTGGAGATGCAGCAGGACCACAGGCTGGGTGTGATTCATAACCCAGAGCCTCAGCCAGCCCAGGAGCTCAGCCAGCAACACAACTGTCAGCACAGCCCAGCAATAAATATCCCAGATATAAGGCAGAGGGAGAAAACAGCCCTCCAAGCACCACTAAAAATGGCCCTTTTGCCTCTGAACTAATCAAACCCAGCAAACAGCACCTTGATGAGTCTTAACCAAGCCTAATCTGGTCCAAACACTCTCCTGAGACTTGTAGATGAACAACTGATGAGACAAAATATAATGAAGTGCAAACAGGATTAATTGCTGTGGAGGCCCCAAGACCTTTCCTGAGCAAAGGGAGAGCAAATGGGAAACCTCCCACCATCCTGGAGAAAGGAAAGGAGCATTCTAGAAAGCTTCACCTTGTGTTTTCCCTATTTCCACAGCACAGATCAGGACATTTTTGTCCCCAGCAGCTGAAAAATAAAGGGATCCAGGCTGTGGAGGAATGGAAAGTTCGATTCCTTCCTTCCTGCTGCCACAAAAATCAAAGCTTAAAACACCCAAGCTCTGGTTCAGTTACCTGAGCTGGATGAGTGAGTGCAAAGGAGCTGCAAGAACGGTTGATTTTCCCAAATTATCAGTTTTTCCAAATTCAATTTCAGTATCAATTCTAAATTTTCTTCACTGATTTCCTTTCCAAATGATGCTTGAATTGTGCTGCCTTCAATCTGAACAAGCACCTTCTGCTCTCAGTGCTTGTCTTTATCCAAGCCCACAGCAGTGGTAGAGTTTCTCTAGATCTAAACTCTCCTAATTAATATCAATTTTACTGTTCTGTCAGTGCCAGAGGTATTACCAGTCATAATCTCACATTATTCCAACAGCTTCTCCAAAATCAAGCCAGCAAGACAATAAAAAAAACCTTCAACAACCCCAAACTGTCTGTTTTTCAGAAGGAAATGTGTGTTCTGGTTCTCAGTCCCAGTCACATCTGCCCTGTACCAACTGCACAGGAACACTCTGCTGGAAGTCCTCATTTTCCCCAAACTTTAACCAAGGAGTTTGTTCCACTGAAACATCACAAGGAAAAATACCTCCTTATCCCAGGGAGACAAAAATCAGGGATAACCCACTGAGGTTTTATGTTCAGGCACCTTTTAAAACCAAAAACTTGAGTTTCTGTAACATCTCTTGATCCTGATCCACTTTTACTTGATTTCTTTGCTGTGCTTCCAAATTTCACCATCACAAACTAAACCTAACACATTTACACCAGTAAATCCATGAGTTATAAGTATGCTACGGATCCTGAGTTATTCCCAGGGGTTGGATTTTAGTGGATTCAGGGTCTCCAAGGAAGAGGAAAATGAGATGAGCACATCTGTGCCCAAAAACACCCTGGGGAAAGCCCATAAATCCTCCCCAAAAGGTCCTGGCTCAGCTCATCCTGAACCTGCTGTCTTCTGGCACCAGAGAGATCTGTCAAGGATATAAAATTCCTCAGGGAAAAACAAGTGGAAATGTCTAGCGATGACCAACACAGCTTTGCCAGAAGAAAGGCAGAATTTAATCCCAACGTGCTCGTGAATTTATCTTCCCCTTCAGGAATGATGAGGAAAGAAAAGGAGGAAGAGAGGGGATTTGCAAAGGAAAAAACACCAAGGAGCAGAGTAAGAAGCCAAAATAGAACAGGCAGGTTACCCCAGACATCAAAATTCCTGTAAAAAGAATAAGCATTTAAAGAGAAGAATACAAAAAAAATACCCCAAAAGGAAGATGGGAGAACACCTCTGGGATGAAATAACACTCAGCAAGTGTTTTCCAAGCACTAATGGAACACATAGATCCTTTAAAAACAAAATAATGACTCTTCCCAAGAGCAGCAGCAGCACCAAGTCCTGCAGGCGGTTAAGGTTTGATGTGAGAAGGTGAGAAGGAACTGGAGAGTGTTCCAGGGGGAATTCCCCTGGGCTGTCCCAGGTAGGAGTAAAACACCTTCCAAAATGTGACCCAGAAAACACTTCTGGCCTTGGCTGGGGGACTTGTTTTTCCCCCCCCTCGATTTATTTCCTGAATTAGAAACATCAACCTGGAACAAAACCTGTGTAACCTCTCTTATTCCACTTTCCCAGTCCTCTTTTTCTGAGGAACAGGAAGTGTGGGAAAATCTGTCTCCTTAATTCCAATAACTGGCTGTTGACTCCTGCCACCCCTCCAGAAACCTTCCAGCCCTCCTCATGATCCTGAAATCCACCTTTTGGAGGCACTGAACTAAATCAGGGTCTCTTTGCTCTGCTTTACTCACCAGCTGCAGCTCCTTGACCCAAACGTGGTGCAGCAGGACAGGGAAAGGACAATTCCCCACCCTCCCTACACCCCAAATACCCAACGGGAACTTCTCCCACAAATATCATTCCCCTCCCCAACCCTCAGCAATTCCAACTTCATCAGCTGCACTTAAACACGCAGCAATGTCTGGTTTTACAGGCTGGAAAGAATCATCCCTGCATTACCAAAGGAAAGGTTTTAAAGCAAAGCTTAGTTTCTTCTTCTCTGAGATTTTATATGTGTAAAAATCTCTTGTCTAATCACTGGTCTTGAACTCAGGCTTAGAGAGGTGGGGACTAACAGGGGCTGAGGCTTAAAGAAAAAGCCATTCCTAAGTGGAAGTAAAAAAAAAGCTCCCTGAATTCACTTACTGGCTTATCTTACAAAAATAAACAATTTTATATTATAAATAACTGTGGTGGCAATACAGAAAAGTCCCACAAAGTGGGACCTGCCATCCCAAAAACTCAGGGATAACTTCAGGACTTTAAAATATGCAGCAGAAAATCTGGATCAGAGGAGAGAGAAGTCAGTAAAAATCCCCCAGTCACTGAGTCCCAGACTCAGTCACTTGGCATTTGCCCTGAATTCTGCTGTGAAACAGAACTGTTAAATGTAAATCAATCAATCAATCAATCAATATATAAATAAAACAGAATGTGTTAAAAATGAGGAAGGTAAGGAATGGTTTTCAACACACTGGAAAACCAGGAAAATACAGTATTTGGCTGTATGAGCTGTAACACATCTCTGGGAGAAAATAATTCATGTTTATTTATATAAAACTTCTGCTTCCTGGCACTTTCCTTCCACCCTCTGGCACTTCAGTTCCAGACTGATTTCATTTGGACCTTTCATAATATTTTGATGGGAGAACCTTCTCCTGGGCAACTTCTAATCCTGATTTTATTTCTTGCTGCTGCTCTTATCTTGCATTCTTGTGCTCCCTGCCCTTGCATATTTAATAATTAACTATAACTAATCATTATATATATATTTATATATACACACACACAGAGAATGAAGTATTTCAAAGCCTGTTGGAAACAATTTACTCAAAATAGGTTTTTAAACCACTTTTTGTTGGGTTTAGGTTTTTGGTTCAGCATATTTAAAAAGGGAGCTTAGTGTTTCTCCCACCAGGAGGAGGAATAATTTCCCCCTGTATTTCCCAACCTCTTCAACTGTAAATCACATTCCTAATTACCTCAGGTACTCTGAGGTATGAGAAGCGCTTCACTGAAACAATTAGGTTTGCTCTACAGTTTTAATTAAGCAACTCACTCATCCAAAAAGCAACAGATTAGTTCCTGGTGCCTGAAATAAGAGTTTTCGAATCACTGGCCATGAAAACAGTTCACCTGCACTAACCCAGCACTGGCAGCCAAGTAGGGAGCTGGTTTATCTTTTCCTGAGTGTTTCTTAACCCCCAGCGAGTCTCATAAACCTCTTCAACGTTTTCAAAACACCTCCCAGGAAAGCAGAAAGAGATACAAGGATTATTTCTGATGTTTTCCCGTCAACATTCTGAATTGTCCTACCAAAACCCAACTACAGCAGAAGCACACCAGAAGAAAACACATCAAGACAGGGATATGACTATCACCTCTGCTGGTATTAATTCCCTCCGAGCAGAGGGAAACTTGCAGACTCGAGGTTGTTTTTCCTCTTGTTTAAGATAAAGCCCCTAAATATAGAGCTCCTTGACCTTTGCACGAGAGTGGCAAACGCAGCAAGTGCAATCACTCATCATCAGGAGGTGTTTTGAACATCCCTCTTCTGCTCTGGAGCCCGTCATCGAGTTCATTCCACGCTTTGACAAGGATGAAACGATGGAAAAAAACCGGCATCTTAAAATTCCCTGATTTCTGATGCTTCAGTTTACAGTCCCACCACCAAAACTAGATGAGCTGGGACACAAATCTCTCCCAGGGAATTCCCTGCTCACCTCAGCCTTGCGGATGCTCTCTCTGGCTTCGTCTATTTTCTGCTCCAGTTCTGCTCGGCTCTGCTCGGACATCACGGGCCCGTGGCATTCCAGCTCCTCCAGGGTCTGCCAGGAACAGGGAAACACCTGGAGTCAACACCAGCAAAACGCTCCCAGGATAAATATTTATAATGGTTATTATTTACAAGGATAAATATTCCCAACAATTACTGTTCAATTATAGGCAATGGGCCATCACTGGGAAAAAAAAAGGTGATGGACAAGGGAAAACAGCACCTGAGAGCACAGAATTTCACATGGACATTCCACTTAGGGGAAGGCTTCCAGATCTCCACCAAAACATCAGATTGTGGTAGGAACCGACTCATCTATAGGTTGGTAATTCCATATTTGAAAGGGATATGTTGCTGCATATTTATGTCAGGAATGTAGAATCCCAGAGTTTGGGTTGGGAGGGACCCTTAAGGATCATCCTGTTCCAACTCCCTCCCATGGGCAGGGACACCTTCCACTAGACCAAGTGTCATAACATTTTTTAGAGATGTCAGAGCATTTTGGACGTTGTTTTTCTGCAGCTGATGCTCCACTTGGGGTGGGAACTGTAGGAATGTTTGGGAAATGAGGCAGAGTATGGTAACAACACAACACACTCCTCCCTGGCTGCCTTTCGGAGGAAAAGCAAAGAACTTTTGTCCTTTTTCAAAATATCTGATGCCCCAGTTAGGCTGCCAAACACAGCCCCGGGTTCTTCTAAGCCAAAGAGGTAGAAATAAATTCATCAATACACGATTTTATTCCTTCAGATTAGATTTAAAGTGCACACTACTCATGGATTTTCCCGGTGTTGAAAAGACTTGTGATCCCTAAATGAACATGGGTAATAAATACATGAGAGAGTGGAGGTAGGAGAATCCCAGGGAGATAAGGGAATCCCTGAAAGTTTAATTTGAGCAGGGGGAGGGTGGGCACTTGCAGTAAAAAGCAGCAGCTCTGATTTCAGGTTCCCATGGGAATAACAAAACACAACGACAAAGCCTGAGGAGCTGCAAACCAAGAAAGGCTGGGATGAAAATGGCATGGAGGGGGGACAGGACAGAAATAATCCCTTGTGCCCCTCCTTCATGCCCCAAATCCCTGTGTACAGAGTGTCCCCCACCTACCCTCTGGCTGTGGACGATGTTTTTGTGCTCCCTGGCCACCCTGGTGGCCCATTTCCGAGCCTCCTTGTTCAGACTGTGCTCCTCAGTCGTTCCAGTTTCCGATTCCAGTTGTCGACTCTGGAACAGAAAACGAGGGAATGAGTCCTGACACAGCCCCAGGGGGAAGCTCTGTGGGGAAAATGGTGTTTCCATACAGGATAACTTTATGTTTATCAGTCTTGTTTCATATGAAACAACGAGGACACAAGCAAAACAACTGCACTGGATTTTGGGATGGGACCAGGCCGTGGAAAATGCAAATCAAAGCTCCCAGGAATTCACAAGAGTTTCAGGGGCATCAGTGTGACAATGGACACAACCACAGCTCTACTGCAATGACAGACAGCCACAGTGAATCCAACAGAAATACAGGCACAGCCATCCACCAAATCCAAGAGATAAAGAATAAATATCCAAGGATTCACCTGATTTCTGAGGTAAAAATCGTTACAGGAAGCAAAGACCACAGAATGGTTTGGGTTGGAAGGGACCTTAAAGCTCATCCAGTCCCATCCCTGCCACAGGCAGGGACACCTCCCACTAGCCCAGGTTGCTCCAACCTGACCTTGGACACTTCCAGGGATGGGGCAGCCACAGCTTCTCTGGAAAACCTGTGCCAGGGCCTGCCCACCCTCCCAGGGAAGGATTTGTTCCTAAAGATGAAAGGTTCTGTGTGATCCAATGGGCCATTTAGGCTCGTTCTTAGTAATTCTCCCCCTGAAGAAATTCCAGCTGAAGGAAGATGAGTAGTTCTCTCCTGTCTACAGATGGAACAGAACCTGCCTGGAAGTCTGAAGATTTCTCAGTATGTAATGACTGAAGTAATTCCCAATCTGTCATTTCCATAACTGCACTACCCAGTGCATTTATTATGGAATCATTTGGGTTGGAAAAACCCTCCAAGATCATTGAGTCCAACCTTTCCCCAGCACTGCCAAGACCACCACTAACTCATGGCCCTGAGTGCCACATCCACATGGATTTTAAATCCCTCCAGGGATGGGGACTCCACCACATCAGAGGAGGGGTTAAGGGGAGGCAGCACCCCCTTGTTGATCACGGTGACCAAAAAAACCACCCTAGAGGCTTTTCCAACCCATTGGAAGATTTCCAAATATTTGATGTCAAAGCCAGAAACAACCATTCCCATGGAGTTCACCCACTGGAGTGGGACAGAACCACAAAACTCATATTTATGGTAGTTTTTGAAGTAGAAGAAGTTGTTGGACAAGGGGTAGGGCAGCCCAGAAGAGGAGGAGGGTTACAAGCATGTGGGCGGCTCTGGAATGAACAGGTAGGAAGGTGAAGCTGCAGGTGAAGATCTCTTCACCCATCCCCTCAATTTAATTACTAAGTTTGCTTTTACCTGCTTTTATTGAGGTGGATTTATAGAATCCCATTCCTTCATTACTGACCTCTTTAATTACCTCACCATTGCAAAACTTCAACAGGACAAACACATGGATTTATTCACATCCCATCCTTGAGATAACACTGGACCTCAGTTTATTCCCAGGTTATTGTACAGCTTCTCCCACAGCTTCTACCTGACTCTCAACAGCTGCAATCTTGAGCAGAATCCTATAAACCACCTCATAAAACATCTCATCAGGAATTTCCAAAGTTCCCATTCATCCTGCTCCTACTCAGCAGCTCATTTTCTTCTCCTAAGCTGGACAAGCCAGTGGAAAAGCCCAGTCTGGATACCTGGCTGAGAACAGTTTCAAAGCCCTCAGGACCTGGAATGCTCCCTGAATCCATGGCTGGGAGGGACTTGACTTCACCTGACCTGTACAAGAAGCTGCTGCCACTTCAGGAGGCTGTGGAGGAACCTGAAAGCAGAGGAGCACTAGGAGGTGGCTGGCATGGAAAAGCAGGATGGATTCAAGGATAATCTGGGAAGTCTGAACCCTCAGGGCAAGGGGGACATCAAACAAGGAATGAAAACCCAGCTGGCATTTAAATAGGTGAGAACAAAGGAGCTAAACCAGGTTTATCCTCCAGACATCAAAACTGAAGGGAAGAAGGTGGGGAACTGAAGAATCTGCTCTTGATCTGATTTACTAAATTAAGCTCATGCTTAAGTGTTTTCAGGACTGGAACTCAGTGGTGGCAACATGGCCAGTGCCTCAATTTAACCTCTTCCAAAAAAGAGGGAAACCAAACCCACTCCCCGCGGCCAAGGAATGAGGGAAGAGCCAAAAAATGCCCCAGCTAAACATAGCTGGACATTCTGCTGCTCCCTCCGGGCTTGCATTACACTGAAAACAGTGTTTAGTGCTAAAAATTCAATCAGGAACCCAAGAGAAAGGGCTGGATGGCTCCAGGCAGCTCAAAAGCTGAGAGGCAGCAATGCTGTTGCTTAAATTAACACACGAATTTAGTCTGCAAACACGTGTCCCTCCTCCAGTTTTGTCTGGAATGTTGTTGCAGGTGCAGAAGTTGCAAACCCAGCCTGTGCTTTTATTTGTCAGTTATATCTGGACATGTGCTGTCTTAAAAGTGAAAAAAAAAACAAAAAAACCCTTGGTTTTTGAGCCTCAACGTTCTTTATTTTTTTTTCTCGATTTTTGAGGCCGAAGCCTAAAAAAAAACCCACATAAAAATCACTTTGACAGAGGCAAAAAGCAGGAAAAGATTTCTTGCATGCAAAGGGCCAACATAAAACAGGGATAAAAATCAGGCATTTCCTTTAAAGAGGTGAAAACAAGAGGTTTTCATGCCAAGGCTGCAAAGCAACACTTTTGGGAGGAGGGAGGAACACACATGACATTTTTCACACAATTCACAGCTAAACTAAGCAGTTTTAGCAAAATCATGAGCCAAGTTTAGGGCTTGTTTTAGTCTCTTACTGTAGAACTAACTGCATTTAATTTAGCCCAGAGTGAGCTCGCCTGACTCACATTTTAGGTAATTTCTTTCCCTGAATGGCTGAATTTCTCCTCAGCAAAAACTCCTAATAATTTACAGATTTATAAAATTAAATACTAACTTTATTTTTAATACATATTTAGCTTCAAAAAGGTTATACTTAAAGCCAGTCTGTTCTGGTATTAAAAGATTGATAAAACGATACAATAACTTATTGTTCATATATATTTTGCTTCAAAAAGGTTAAACTTATAACCAATCTGTTCTAGTATTGAAAAAATAATAATACTAAATAAGAACTTATTTTTAAAATAGATTTAGCTTCAAAAAAGTTACATTTAAAACCAGTGTATTCTGGTATAAAAAGACTGGTAAAATTAAATAATATCTTTATTTTTTAATACATTTAGCCTCAAAAAAGTTGTACTTTAACCCAGTCTGTTCTGGTATTAAAGAGATCACTCTAAACACAGAAATACAGGCCTTTTTTAAAGTATATTTATGTAATTTATACAAAATTGCCTCATAGAAGCAGCTGAGCAATTCAATATATTCTGTGTATGACAGTGAGGGGAAATTCATCCTTTTTCTCACAATCCACCCAAAATCTGCAAAATAATGAGGGGGGGGGGAACTGCAAAACTTTCCCCTCATCTTCCTGAGGTGTTTTTGTGCAAATTACAATGGGAAAAAGATTGTTTTCGTGATACAAATCAGTTGGGCCCCAGCTTTTCCTCACGCGCTCCAAGAAAACCTCGGGATCTGGAACATCCAGGGGAAACCAGGGACGAAAAACAGGAAAAAGGCCTCAAAAACAGAGCATCAGCTTTTTGGGGCCATTCCCCTCCCGCTCCAGGGACACGTTTTATGTCATTTTTCTGGCTCATTTTCTCTCCTGGATGAAGGAAAAAGCAGCTTTTCCAAGCAGGAAACGGAGAAAAGCTGCTGAATTTCCTTTCTCTTTTGCCCTGTTCTTATCTGTGAGCGTGGGGACGGCACGTTTTCCACACCCTGCGTTTCCAGGGAATTAATAAATATCCCTTTCCTTCAGGGGGGATCTTGGATGATTAAACTGTCCCTGAATTGAGGATCCAGGGAAGGCCAAGTTGTGCTGGTTGACTTTTCTTGGGAGGCTGAAAAGATTCCAAAAGACTCTTCCCCGTTTTCCACTTTGCTGTTGGTAAACTCATTTCGGGGATTCATTTCTTGACAGGATTAAAACTGATGAAGAAGAAGAAGAAAAATTTCTTCCTAAATATTTTTAAAACAATTTCTTGAAGGGAAAAATGCTTTGGTTTAAACTTTTTTCTAAACTTCCTTCTTTTTTTGTTTTATTAACTGGAATTGATGTCCCTCAAAACAAGACACTGAAACAAACTCAATAATTTAATCATGTGAACAACTGTTCAAATTCAAGCTCCAACCAATCTTTTAACAATGGAAAAGAGCTGACTGATGTCAAATATTTTGGGTTTCTCTCTGTGGGCACTCAAAAGGGTACATTTCACCCATTGTTAATGGGATGTTGGAGATCAAAAATCCTGAAAATTGATGGAAAACTGTTTCATAGCTTCTTTTCTTAGGAACAGACTTTTGGAGGCTCTGTTGGCATCATTTTGAAGGCAAACTGAGCTGTGGGTGCTGCCCCTGACCCAAGGGTTGCACAGAAATCTATTTTCCATCACTTTTTGGAACTGCTCTTCTCTTATAAAGCAAAAGTCTGGGATAGACCCTGAGAAACTAGAATTTACAGCAGAATTCCACATCATTTCCAACATTCTTCCTGCCTACAATACTCAAAATTTCATTCCAGTAACACTGTAATGCTCCAAACTTTGCCCTCAGTCGTGGTGGGTCAGGGATTCAGCCTGAAGAGAGCCCATAAAACTTGGAAAAGGTTAATAGTAAACATTTAATGAGATGTATTCATCACTCTGCTTTGCATTTCTTTCAGTCTTCGGTGTGAAATTTTTTATTTTGTCTTTCTTTCAGCCTTTGGTGTGAAAATTATCATGCACAACCCACAGGAACTAAAAGCCAACTGATCAACTCTGCAGATTATCTGCAAACACGTGGCAAAAGAATGCTTGATAATTGTTGTGCAATTAAATGCTGATTCAACAGAAAATTAAATAAAATCTGACCAATTTCTGACCAAGTCAAAAGCCTGAACAAGAGCCTTCAACCCCTTGTACTTGTTGATTAAAAATTGGGAATGTGCAACCTGTTACCCGTCCCGTCAGCTGAGCATAATTAGACGGATCAGAAAGAAGTTCAATTTAATTATTTTGGGGAAACTGGCAGCTGGAAGCTCCAAAGGCTGCAGTGCACTGAGGAAATGCAGGAATTCTCCAGCCCAGGTGGGTTGAGCAGGTACAGAAGTCACTGGATGTGAGGGACAGGGACAGTTTTAGACCTGGAGTGAAGCTCCAGCAGCACTCGAGTCCCTGGTGAGCCTACACAAGTCAAGGAATCCTGTCATTTTTCGTGTTGAAGAGTTTAACAGGAGGGAATTACAGCCCTGTTGGACATAGGGATAACCCTCTGGAAAAGGAAGAGAATTAAATTAGTACCAGGGCTGCATTTCATCAGTGCATCCTAATAAGCTCCACTTGTCAGAGCAGCTCCCCCCTCACGGTGGAGCAGGAACCAATTACACCTAGCACTGTCTGGAGCTGTGAAATTTTAATTCATGCCCCTAAAAGCTCAGAATATCAATTACAAGTGCTGTGCAAGCTCGGGAGTGTGAGGCTGCTCCCCGTATTTAAACACCTTTAAATTGATTTTTCCTTCTCACTGCGAACGAAGCTTCCCCCCCCTTTTCTATATCTATTTTATTAATTTAATTTATATTTATTTTATGGTTCGATAACACATATTCTGCATTCTGTTGCCACCTCCACGTGGGTGTAAATTCAGCATATCCCAAGTCACATGCACATGGATAAGGACACAAAGGTACCTCTGCTATGGTCATTCTCATAGCACTGACAGGTGAGGGCTCAATCTCCACCAGCTGAACTGCATTAAAACTCTGGATGCACAGATCCCACGGGGATGAAAACACAGCAGCAAAGGTTAGAAAGGCTGGGAAAGACACTCATTGTATTAAGAACAACCTCAAAGTTTATCAGGGAATACGCAGAGCTGGAAGGGATCATCGAGTCCAACTCCTGGCCCCAAAAATCACACCATGGTGCCCCGATTTTTTTATGGGAATAAGGACTCTATGCAAAGGACCTGGAAGGAAAATCAGAATCACACTTTCTTATGAGGGAAATACAAAGGAAACTGTGCCAGAGAAGTTGGTGTGACCAGAAAAATCCCTTTTATGCAGCTGCTAAGAGAGGTCTCAAATTAAATCACCTTAAGTTCAGATCACTGCTGTCCAAATCGGTTCACTAATGAATTCAAGCAAGAAAAAGCTGCACAAGGTTATATTTTTTTAAAGATCCCAGACTTCTTTTAAACTGCTATTTCTTAAAATAACATTAGCAATGTTGCTGGTCCATCAACAATCCACTTTAATCAAGGGGCTGTTTGGAAATGTGTTTAAATATCCCAATTCACCCAATTTTGATGTCATTGCTTTGGAAGCAACACATACACCGAGAGAATATTTTTGGAGGTTATTTTTGGAATGCAGTGTTTCACCAGTATTCTTTTTGAGTTAATAACTCCTTCTGTGTATCTCTAAGCATTCCTTGAATAATTCAGGTGTGCAGAGACACTTGACTTGGATACAATATGAATATGATGAGAACCTCCCCAGCAGGGATAAAAAGGCAACAAAATTTAGTAAGAATTAGAGCAAAATTTAGTAAGAATTAGGTTGAAAGCAGAGAAACACAGGGCTGTTAGTCACAAAAAGCCAAAAAACATTCTGCTTTTCTGTGGCTGACACTGAGCCTGCTGGATGCTTTTACCACCAAAAATCCAGCATGAGGTTAAACCAGTCTGGGATATCAGTGAGTAATGTTCTCTCCCACATTTCTAGATAAAATATATCAAAAACAGAGGAATTCTGAAGGTTCTTACAGTGTCACTGTCACTCGGCTGGAACTGGAAAGGCTGAGGTTTGTGGAACACGGAATTCTCCTGCAGGAACAGCTGGAGGTTGTAATCCCGCACCACCTGAGGGAATAAAAACAGGCCTTTGACACTCCTCATTTTGTCAGTTGAAAAACATCTACAGAGCAAAACCAGGCCTTCAAACAGAGCTAATTGTGCAGCAGAACTCTGAAGGAAATTCAGAACCTCGTTCAGAGGACAAGCAACTAAAATACAACTTTAACCTACAAAATGAGGGAAAAAAGCCAACTCTGGAGAAGACACAATGTGGTGTCACTGCCATCAGTATTTCTCCCTCCTCTTCGTGGATAATTTCTTGTGTAATGTTCTTTCTTAGGCCGAAATGTGTTAATTTTACAGAAATTATCAGTTGTGGGAGCTGAAAAGACTATTTGGAGTAATGCACATAAAATCAGTTGCAAACTTCATCTCTCTCTATTAAATTGCTTTCAGAGGAAACTCTCCAAGCCTGTGTTTTGTAAAGCAAAACCACTTCAGCTCCTAAATTTGTTTAATGACACGTTTCAGAAACCATGACACATGTCCCTAAACAAACCTCTCATGTCACAATTTACAGAGATTCACAAAGAAATGCTCAGTGATTGCAGCAAGAAAAAAATAGTAGCACTGCTTGAAAGACTCTCCCAGAGCATTCACTGCTTCAATGGGTGGAAATGAATATACAGCAGCACGAAATTATAAATATCTATTACCAAAGTGAGGGTACAAAGTGGATAATAAAGATGGTATTTATCCAGAAATAGCAGCTCTGTGCATGACCTGGGTGGACAATGGGAAATACAGCTTGTCCTCTAATGCAGAGAAGTGTTGCTGAAATACTGAGCTGTAAAAAATTAATCTTCAGTTAAAGAAACTAAATAGTCCTCCAGGGCCAATAATACACGCAAAAAAGTACATAATTACTGCTCCAGTTTGAGCAGTTGAACACGAACACATTCAGAGGGGAGGAAGACAGACAGGGATCTGCATCAGGAATTCCCAGAAACAGAAATGCAGGAAATACTGAAGAAGGGAACATCTGCAGCTTCAGATGATGCTCAGCACTGATCATAAATATATTTTAATTTAAACAGCTATTCCATTAAACAGTCCTTTTAGAGCCACGTGAACACTGACCAGAGCACACAACTCTGTGCCATGATTAATATATGGAATTATTTTAACTTCAATTAGGAAAAAAAACCACCAGAATGTAGTTACTGAGGGCGTGAAAACCTACACAGATATTTTAATGCCCTCAATTTTCACCACAGACCTCAGACTTCCAAGCAACTCAGTTCTTCAAAGAGGAAAACCCATCTTTACAACAGCAATCCTAAGGGATTTTCCCTCAAAGCCACAAGAAATGAGAACAATTGTTATCAGAAGAGGAAAATGTGCAAGCCCAGCAAATTACATGGTGCATTTTGCACAATATATTTGACAACTGATAAAAAGAAACTTAAAAGACTCCAAAGCAACACACTGTTCTTTGGGATTAAACTGCAACTTCCCCAAATAGATTTTTCTGTTGTTCAGAAATTAAATCAATGCAATGTCCTCAGACGGGGTTTTTTTTTTTGAAGCCAATGTCAAAACAGACCTGAAATCAAATATATCCCATGTGAAGAAAAGGCACAGTCAGATGTGCACAAGGGGAATGATTTGCCCTCTGACCAGAAAGCTCCCAGAAATGGGATTCAAAACAGCAACTGGAATTTTGGAAAATGCTCCAAGGGAAAAATCAGATGTCCAAGAAAAAGAAATGCAAGAAGTAAGAGACTTGAATAAGACTGTTCAAGTGAAAAGGGAGTTAAATTTCATTTTCATAGAATCCCAGGATGGTTTGGGTTGGAAGGAACCTTAAACCCCATGCAGTGCCACCCCCTGCCATAGGCAGGGACACCTTCCACTAGCCCAGGTTGCTCCAACCTGGCCTTGGACACTCCCAGGGATGGGGCAGCCACAGCTTCTCTGGGCAACCTGTGCCAGGGCCTCCCCACCCTCCCAGGGAACAATTTCTTCCCAATATCCCACCTAAACTTCCCCTCTTTAACCTCAGTGTCTCCATTCCAGCAGCAGAGGTAACATTTCCAGCACATTCCCCCCGGGAATGACACAGGCCACACTAACCCAGCACAGTAAAACCCCCAAAGCTCCAACAAATGATGCTGTAACTATGAAAAATCTGCATTTTGGACAGAAAATCTGGTTTTGAGGCCTTTCCCTCCTCAACCTGCATTCCATGAGGTGACAGCCAGTCCCTAAGCCCAGCCCAAGGAGCCATCCCTGGCTCCCTGACATCCAAGGAGGCATTTCTGGGAAGAAAAACTTGTCTCACTCTAAAGCAAATACAACTGAATTCCATCCTGAAGGACGGTTCAGATGGAACAGCCCAAAGGATTTCTCCCAAAGACCTGAAGTGTCTGTTCCAGGCAGAGCTTGGGATCTCGGGAAAACTAACCAGGAACACGTGAAGTGTCCAAAACGCCCAGCAAACATTTCAAACCCTCGCTGTGAGGACAGGCTGGGCTTTATCCCAAATGGCCAAGCTGCAGATTTATTCCACGTTTAACACTCGAGCTGCTTTTGAAACCCACGGGTGGGTTTTGGTTGAGTTTCTCCTCTGGGTTCACCTCTCACTTTGGAGCTGGTTATTTTAACGTGAACTCGTGCTGGAAAGAAAGGAGAAGCAAAACACAGGGACAAATCTCCCAGTGAACGCATTCAGAGTGAGGCCCAGGTTTTCAGGAGCAATGTAACTCCAGTTTTCCTTCTCTGCATTCCTGAACCACGAGGAGAGAAGCGAATTGGTGCTGAGGAGCCTGTTCAGACCTGCCACTGGGATTCACATTTTTCTTCCTTCTCCAGGCACTGAAGGAAAGCAAGAACACAAATGTTGCCTCAAACATAGTGTGTGATGTTGTTACTGTGGAAAACAAGCCAGACCTGGAGGCTCCTGGCCTTGCAAAGCCTGGCTTACACAAGCTCAGCACACACAAATATCCCAGGAAGGGATTCCTAAGCAAAGGAGCTGTCAGGATGTGGCAGTTTAGTTGGATCCAAGTCCCAGCCAGGCAGCACTCCAAGGATTTTGAACACAAAGGATGTGATACAACACTGAGAAATTAATTATGAATATGCAGACATGATACAGTATAAAATATTATATTAAATATTAGACAAAACCACAGAAACTATGGATTTAATTAAAAGATGCCAAGTCTGTATTTTCAGGGAACACATTTGAACCCTGAACGAGGCACCCCAAGGTAAATCATAGCAAGTCTTTTTACAACAGGAGATAAAATGGTATTTTGATTATTTTTGCAGCTGCTGCCAAGTAAATTCAGAGCCAATTTTTTCACGCCCTCCCTTTCTGTCTATGAAGGGGTGAGATCACTTGTTTGCAGGTGAGTAAGGAATGTGTTAAATATGTTTTTACTCCACAGGTCTCTGTGTAAATGAGCTGTTTCTGTGCAGGTAAGGTAATAAATAAATAAATAAAGGAATATTATGACTCTACCAAAGCAGCTCCTCTGAGCTCAATGGCAATTATTGTTATTATTTTCTTTTTAGCCCAGTAGATGAATTATTTAAGCATCAAAATTATCCTGTCTGGTGTCTTTTAACTTAACACCACCCAGGAGAAACCAAAACTAATAATCCTTGGCACGATTTTGGAAGCAAATCTTAAGCCTGGCAACTTTCATAAACTGTAAGGGTTTGGGTACAAAGGATCACTGAGTTCAAACTTACCCTGCTGGAAGTCTCCAGTAAAAACTGGAATGTGTTTTGTACAGCTTGGCACGTCTCTAGTTCAGTCCTGCTGAATGCCATTAAATAATCCTTAAGGTGATCATATATATTTCCATCAAGGGCCTGTGTGAGGGAAAGAATGGAGGAAAATTGAGAAAAGCAGGAAGTGCTGGATATCTGATTTATTAATATTCATCTTTAGACTTTTCAGATGCTCAGACTGGTTTTTTTTAATACATGTACAGGTGTATTTCTCCTGAACGCAGCAGTGACAGCAAAGTTCAAACTCTGTTGTAACCAGAGGTATAAAAATCACATAACACAGAGGAGGTTACAGGTTTAATGTAAGTTTTGTGTTAAACCTGACTTTGAGGTGACTGATGTCATTTAAATATTCAACTCTGCACATATTTAGAAACGTATTATATAGATTTTGCAATGGATCATACTTGGCAGATATCCACTTAAACAGTGTATTCATGGCAATGGTGAAAAGGCCATTTCAACAGACTCAACGATGTGTTTCCACAGAAAATTGCCTTTGGTTATTTAAATCCTTTTGAAAAGTCAAGGGGGGGGGAAAAGGGTTAAATTTTGCAAGACTTAAGGAATAATTTGTGCCCCAGCAAAATCAAGCCCACTGTTTAAAACAAGGGGAACAGACACAATAAATCAGACACAATGAATCAGACACAATAAATCAGACACAAATCCTGGAAGTGTCCAAGGCCAGGCTGGACGAGGCTTGGAGCAACCTGGGACAGTGGGAGGTGTCCCTGCCCACAGCTGGGGGTAGAATGAGAGGAGCTTTAAGGTCCCTCCCAACCCAACCCATTCCATGGTTCTATGGAATCATTCAGAATTTGGGAAGAACAGAAGAGAATCTCCTTCTGCAGAGAAGTTTCCCCCACTGCCAGCAGAAATTAAAACTCAGCCCAGCCAAACTTTGGTATCCAAAATCCTCTTTATATTATTTTCCTCATCCTCCACCACCAAGGAATTCTCAGCACAGGGGGATTGTTTCCTTATAGACACTAAACCTGCCTCAGATTTCCTTGTGCAAAAAACCCATGGCCATCAGGAATCCAGGAGAGGCTGTCACCCAAACCAGCAGCAAACTGGGAATTCCTTTCACCCTCACACTGGAGCTGGTTCCCTCAGCCATCTCAAAGGCCGGGCTTGAGGAATCACCAGCCAGGGAAGCTCCTGGAGGATCCCTGACAAAAAAGAAGAGCCACCAAAAGGCTGGGAGAGAGCTATGGGATAAGAGCTCCAGGCTCTTAGGAGGGATGACAGTTCCACTAAATACTCTGTCAACCAGAATTTTTTCCAAAAATTCTTATTAGAAGACTGATGGAATAATAGCTGGGATGTTCGACTGATGAAAAACTCGGGAAATTCCCAACAGCAAATCCACAGAAAACCAAGAGCAATGCACAAACACAGGTTCAGCTTGTCTGTCCTGGGGTGGGCACAGCTTTCCTGGAATTCATCCTTTAGGAGATACATCCCCAGGACAGCATCAGGATTTTAACACTCCCTGTGCCTTCATCCCTGCAGGGATGAGCCCTGGAGTTCCCACCCTGTTCCAAGGACATTCATTCCCACATCAAACACAGGCAGTGCCAACAGCACTTGTGCTCACAGGGAATACAAATGATGGATAAAATTGCCAAGGCTGGGAGAATCCCAGCCTGAAACTCCCCCAGAATGGAACTGCAGACTTTGAGCTGTTCCTAAAGCTTTCCTAAAGGTTGTTCCTAAAGCTCAACCTCTGCTAAAAAATGTAAATAAATGATTGAAACTTGGTACAGCAATTCCAAGTGCTCTGTGTTTGCAGAGCAGCTGCGATTTCTGCTGTAAATCAGGATTTCAGAGCTCTTGGAAATATTCTGTATATCCAGTCTGGGAGATTTCCTCAGATTTCACAGAATCACAGGATCATTAGGCCTGGAAAAGACTTCCAAGGTCATCAGGGCCAAGCTTTGACCAAATCCCACCGTATCCCAAAGTCAGGGCTGGTGACTCCCCCCCATCCCTGCTCAGCCCATTCCAATGCTCAACCAGCCTTTCAGGGAAGAAGTTTTCCCTCATGTCCAACCTGAGCCTCCCCTGGGGCAATTTGAGGCCATTTCCTCTCGTCCTGTCACTGTTCTCCCAGGAGAAAAGGCCGATCCCACCTGGCCACAACCTCCTGTCAGGGACTGACCTGGATCTGAGCACAGCTCAGGAATTATTTTGTATCAAATCTCCATAATTCACCTCACAGAGCGAGATTAACGTCAACTAAAATTAAGGAAAAACCAAAATAATTTCACTCAGCGAGAACAGAATCTTTTAGGCTGGAAAAGAACTTTCAAATCATCAATTCCAACTAGAAAACTGTGTATTTAATTCCTATTTTTTCTCAGCTCATTCTAACCACACTGGTTTGGGGATTTTTTCCCTTTCCACCTTCAGCCTGTTGTGTAAAAGCACTTTCTGATCTCTCCCCTCCCTTCATGTCAACCCCAGATGCTCTTTTTATGTTAAATTCCCCAAGGAGGGGTTCGAGTCATCAAATTTAAGTCTGGATTTTGACTCTCCTGGTGCTTTTTAGAGGCAAAGGAGAGGAGCTGGTGCTTCTGGGGTGGGATTGCTGCCTTTCCAAGACGGGTGGTTAAAACAGATCAGCTGCAAGGCAGGATGCCAGGGGCCTGTTCCTCTTCACTGACCCTGAACAGCCCCCCAAAAACTAGCTCAGAAAATTGCTCAGATAGAGCTGGGGGAGATGAATCCCATCCCCACTTGTGGTTATTCCCAATTATCCCCTACTGAGCACTAGGAATTAATTCACCTCCAGCCGCACTTTGTGTTCTGAGGAATATTAAAAAAAAAAAAAGAAATAATAATTTGATTATTCCCCCCACTCCTCTGACAATGACCAAGCTCTGAGAAGCCAAAAAACCCCCCCCAATGTGTTAAGGAGATATAGAAAAAAGATATATAAGGCAGGACATCAAGGAAAGTTGTGACAAAACGTTAAGGGAGCACCCAAACCTGTCAGTGTGTGATCCTGAGTTACAGCCCTGCCCCTTTCATTCATTAAAAGAGGTTTCAATGTGATAAAGTTCTTAAATACTGATGAGAACTGAAGTTATTAAAGTCAGTGCAACATCACACAGGCACAAGTAAAGCCAGGCCTAAACAAGCAGCTCCCAGGCCTAAAAAACTCCTCAAGGCACAGGGAATGTGATGTCCCACCAGCCCTGGGGTTTGAGGGTTGGCTGGTTCCCGATTTCCAACCATCATGGATTTAATCCAGTCTATAAAACGGATTTAATCCATTCTGTAAAATTATCACATCGAGCTGGAGGTGGGAATATTAAAGCAAAAGCTTTGACTTGCTTGTATGATCTCAATGAACGTGCCCGTGGGATTTTGTCATTTCAACCTCATTTACTTCCCAACTCTCTGACCCAAAGCACTGAACAGCCCAGGTCTGGACAGGAAAAAAAAGTCTTTCCTAAAATCCCTCATCACACAACTTGAAGGGGAAACTATGGGGGTGAAAAAAAAACCAATTCCATAAAGCCAACAGCCATTATTCCTCCACAATGGCTTTTGTTCCCTCTCTGCCTCTCAGGAGAGCACTAAATCACTTCCTGAACTATCACAATCCCACTGAAAAACTTGTCTTTTTTGTCAACTTCAAAAGGAAATCAAGGGTTTCTTTTTTTAAAAAAAACCCCAACAAATCTGGCATCAAAGCCAAGATAATACAAAGTTAAGTGGCACAGAATGACAATTTGCAAGGAGAAAAAAAAGTCAATGTTTTTAAAGAAATCATTTCTTTACAGTGGAACTGTCACATTAAAGGGGTGAAATTCCTTCCCCCCCCCCAAGTCCGAGCTTGAGAAGATAAGGCTGAAATTGGAGCTGAGAAGAAGCTGTTAACAAATAAAAACAAATTAAAGTGTATTTTTATACACAAAATAACAAAAAAATACAAGTGTATTTTTATACATGACCAAATTAAAGTGTATTTTTTGTAAGAAATCCTATACCTTAAATCTATAAAATTATATATGCAGGGGATGGGACAAGAACATTCTGATTTCAACATCCAAGTCTCACTTAGAACTTTACACAGGAAGAAAATTTCAGTCCCAGTTCAGACCATCATTTTCAGGAGGATTTTCTTCTTATTTCAAGGGATGATATTGAACATTTTTGGAAGTTGGATGTGTTGGCTTTAATCATTCTACACTTTATAAAAATTCCCTCAAAAGCAAGGATGGAAATGAAATTATTTGAGCTATTTTTAGGACATTTGGTTGCCTTTGGGATGCTGTTACTCAACTAAGATGCAAAAGAGATCCTGCATTCAATGTTTTATATTCTTAATTCCAGGTCTCTTCACTAAAACATTGACAGGTCTCAGCCACACTCCATTTCAAAATTACAATTTCAATGTCTTGGAGAAGACAGAGAACGAGTTAAACTGTGTAATTTTTTATTTTAAAAGCAACCAGCAAGACAAAATGGCAAATATTTGCAGAGCAGAGTTGGACGAAGCCACCAAGGTGAGTTTTCCCTTTTCTCCCATTTATTTCTGAAATAATCCTGGTATTCTATTCATGCTTGTCTTGCACAAGAACTGTTAAAAGCAGTGTTGAATAATAATAATTTCTAATGAATAATTTCCCAGTTTAAACTCAGCTGTTCAAACTCATCCTCCCCGTAGCCACCAGGCACCAAACCCAGCACTAAGGTAAAAAAAAAAACAATTAAAGCCACACTTGTGAAGCCATGTGGGTTTCACTGACTAATTAATATCAGTCTCATCTGAATCATCACTGCTCAGGAATAATTGGGTCTTTTCAAACACAGGCAGCTCTATTTTTATGTGTTTTTAAACTGGAATCCCACGTTTGTGATAAACCAACCACCAGACTGGGGCTGGAATGAGATGATCTTTAAGGTCCCTTCCAACCCAACCCATTCTGTGGATCTTTGAAATTAAGTTTGCATTTAGAAACATCGAATTTTTTAATCAGATGATGCAACCCAACACTTCATGTGGCTCATTTTGCCTGTGCTGAGCATCAAACCCCTGGACAAATGCTCGGGAAGCTGCCACT